GATACACAATATACATCCATGATACGATACACAATTTACATCCATGATAGGATGCAATACACAATATACATCCTTGATACGATACACAATATACATCCATGATACGATACACAATATACATCCATGATACGATACACAATATACATCCATGATACGATACACAATATACATCCATGATACGATACACAATATACATCCTTGATACGATACACAATACGATACACAATATACATCCTTGATACGATACACAATACGATACACAATATACATCCTTGATACGATACACAATACGATACACAATTTACATCCATGATAGGATGCAATACACAATATACATCCTTGATACGATACACAATATAGATACACAATACGATACACAATATACATCCATGATACGATACACAATACACATCCGTGATACAATACACAATAAAATACACAATACACATCCATGATACGATACACGATATATTTGGATGGTTTTTAGTATAGGGATGTTTGCTCTTTGCTTTTGGAACATGATGTTACTGAACTCTTAGTGAACAGGATGTTTCATTTATCATCAAACATTACTTTATTGATCGACTATATTTGATTTATCGTCCAGGTTTTTATAAAAACATAAAATTTTTACAAAAACATAACTTGACTGATTTAAAGTCTCCTTTAGTTTATTGGAGGGTTTTAAAGGTTTCTTCTGACTCGACGTCCAAACTTGAATAAAAATATTTGGACTTGTTATTTTTTGGCTCGTATAAATCAACAGTGATCCTTTTTATTGGAGCAAACAGARGAGTTGGTTTGTGTCAAACCTCTGCCAGAAGATGCTGCTTAATGAAATCATTTTATTAATCCCCAAAGGCTGATTCTTTTGTTCCGCTTTAAGCCCTGGTTGACTTTGATCCCTCCTGTTTGCTCCCGTGGGTTTGCCAGTTCTAAGAATAAGACGTAGATGTCTGTAAAGTTCAGCTGCAGACCAGAAGCAGCTGATTGTGTTTGTGAGCTGCAGCAGAATAAAAACTCTGCAGTCTTGGCAGAAGTAAACAGTCTGATGTTTCCTGTAGTTAATCTGAGAATGTGGAGCAGGTCAGAGCAGCAGCGAGGGGCTGGGAACCTGAACATGACTTCATTCAACCTGCTCTGAAAAGAATCAGAACTAGTT